CAATTCATAGTAAGAAGAATTTAATTTTTGTTGTTGTTGTTGTTCAATCCAAAATTTATGGCAGTCATAATTTTTCTCTTTTATTAGAGAAAAATCTGACGAAGACCTAATATCGTTTTTTAAAGAAAATCCTTTAGTATTTTCAGCAAAGACGACTATCAATAAAAAAAGAAAATTGTAATTTTGGTCTATGTAAAGAAATCGATACGTGAAAAGACGGCGGGATCATGAAGAAAATCGAATTATTAAAAAAAAAAGTGAGAGAAAAAGGTACAGCTGATTTCATTTTTTTTACACCAATATTAAAGGAAAATTTTGAGTATAGCTTAGTACATACTCGATGAAATAAGCTTTGAAATAAATGTATATATCAAAGAAATATCATATGGAATCTTTTTCTTAGAATCTACTAGGATATTTTTTGATAATTTTGAAAAGTTAATTACACAGCAAACAACATATAAAACCATTTTTTTCTAAATAATTTTGAAAAAATTAATTAACACAGCAAAACTTTAAAATACAAACAAACAAGATATCGATCCCAAATACAAAATATTGAACAAAAATTGCCAAAACAAAAAACAATAATAATAAAAATGACACAAAAACGTAGATTGCAAATGAAATAAAACAAAAAACAGAAACAAAGCAATAATCAAAACAAAAATAACAAAAACATCGATACAAAAAAAATATAGCTACAAAAATAAAAAAAAAATCGCATAAAACGAGAACCAAAACCCACAATAGCAAAACCACCCTTAAGAACAACAGCAACAACAAAACAAAAACAAAAGCAACATTACCAACGGACGCCAAAAATATCTCTCAATTCGTTATTTCGGCGAAAAAAACATCAATCATATCTCGATCTCTTTTACATCTGTACAAAGCCAAAAATTCTGAGAAATTATCGTTATCATTATTTTTTGGTGGGAGACTATTCTTTTTTTTTAGATTAAATTCTTCTTTTTTATTATTGATTTTTAGAAAATAATTCACGGAACATGAATGCTTCTAATTTATTTTTTTGGAATCCGTGTGAAGTGGCTTTGATTGGCGGGAAATTTGAAAAAGACTAGATAATGATGAGAACGATGATCACTTACGGAAAGGGGGGAAAGATAGGATAAGAGAAGAAGAGAAAGAGAGGATAAGAGAGAATAGGAAGAATAAAGAGATAAGAAGCGTGGATAACGAAAGAGAGAAAAAAAAGCGTATTTTACGGATTTCTCTCTCTCGGTCTTTTTCCGTCTCGTTCTATTTCTCTCGCCCTTTCCTTTCTCTCTCTCCCTCCCTCCCTCTCTCTTTCTCTCTATTTCTCTTCCCTCCTCCTCCTCATCATCATCATCGTCATCATAATCATCGTTGTTATTACACTTTTTGACTAGAGAAAGAAAGAGGGAGGGAGGGAGAGAGAGAGAGAGAGAGAGAGAGAGAGAGAGAGAGAGAGAGAGAGAGAGAGAGAGAGAGAGAGAGAGAGAGAGAGAGAGAGAGAGATGAGAGAGAGAGAGAGTGAAGAGAGAGAAGAGGAGAGAGGAGAGAGAGAGAGAGAGAGAGAGAGAGAGAGAGAGAGAGAGAGAGAGAGAGCGAGAGAGAGAGAGAGAGAGAGAGAGAGAGAGAGAGAGAGAGAAATACTAAGTGAAAGTACATAAAATTTGAAGGATAAAGAAAAAGAAAAAGAGAAAGAAAGAGCAAGAGAGAGAGGAAAAAACAGAGCCAAAACCTCATACTAATTGAGCACATGAATTGATCACAACTTTTTCTCCCGCCAAGTGGAATCCCGCGTCCGATTCCTCTCACGCCGTCGACGGAAAACCAAGCGCACAGGATCGGACACAAGCAACCCAAGCCGGCTCCAATAAACAAGTCAGGTTCAAGAAGAAAATGAAAAATCCAGCGATATTGGATGTCAAAGTGCGAAAATACAAACCTTTGTGAGTCTCGCGTTCGTCTTTCTCACGCTGCAATTCGCGCTCGAAACACGCCTCGGTTTCGGAACGAACAAAGGGATCTCTCGGCTTCGATTCCGAGCTTTTTTGTGCCGGTTATTGTCGCAGAGGATTTGTGTATTTAGCTATTCATACATTCACTTATGCTAATATATATATATATATATATATATATATATATATATATATATATAGCTATATATATAATATATATAATATATATATATATATATTATATATATATATATATATATATATATATATATATATATATTCATAATATACATTATATACATATATTATATATTATATATATATATATATATATATATAATATATATAATATATATAATTATATATATATATAATATATATATATATATATATATATATATATATATATATATATATATATATATATATATATGCATACATACACCACAACAACATCAACTGGTGACCACGAGCAAGTGCAAGAAACTCTCGAACTTGAGTTGCGACATCGAGTTACAGAAACCCTTTTTGTTTCATTTCATATTATCTTTATATTTCATTATGACACGTCATTCTAATAAGTAACAGGAATTGGATGAATCAGAATTAGATATTTTTAAGAGAACATTATATATCTCCGTTTTTTTTTTCCAAGATTAAGTAGAAATTCAGAGCAGAAATTTCGAGATGGCAAGGAGAGACACGGATGGGAATAGATAATTTCCTAGCGATGAAATATCCCGGGGAAATATCATTAAGAAAACGAAGTAATCGAAAAAATAAGGAGAGAAGAGAGAGAGAGAGAGAGAGAGGAGAGGAGAGAGGAGAGAGAGAGAGAGAGAGAGAGAGAGAGAGAAGAGAGAGAGAGAGAGAGAGAGAGAGAGAGAGAGAGAGAGAGAGAGAGAGAGAGAGAGAGAGAGAGAGAGGAGGAGAGGAGAGAGAGAGAGAGAG